ATAATCCCAGCTACTCGGGAGGCTGAGGCAGAAGGATTGCTTGAGCCCAAGAGTTTGAGTTTGAGGTTGCTGTGAGCTAGGCTGACGCCATGGCACTCTAGACCGGGCAATAGAGTGAGACTCTGTCTCAAAAAAAAAAAAAAAAAAAAGGAAATTCTTTATATCTCAATGAAAATTTCAATTAAAAAATCATTAACATTAGCTATGTTTACAAATTTTAATATGACACCTTCCAAACGTGTTACAGCCCAACTGATTGGCCGCACCACCAGATGCTGGGACCCACCCTATGCTGCTGGTGCACAGCTTTGGGCAGAGGTTTGAGCTTCACATAAACACACCGTGGACTAGTCAGGCTGTAGCTCTGTGACTTATATTCTGATTGAGCATGCCTGCGACCAAGTGTACCCAGAAACACATATGCCTGCACGCAAAGGAAAGCCTTAGGCCAGTCCCTGACGCATCTGTTTGGCACATGCTCAGGCAGTGAGCTTGTCAGTGGGGCATTAACCAGGGAATTAATTACACATCACCGAGACCATTGTCAAGTGTGGTCTAGACACACAATGCTAAGGATTGGAGGTCTCTGTCTAACTTTATGTTGGTGATGAGGCATTCTAGCAGGAGTCAGGCATATTATGTATGATTCAACTTTAAGCAAAATTTCCCTGAGAAATTCAAACCTAAACTTCAACTAAACAGAGTTCCAAGACTGTAAGTAACCTGAAGAGAAATCTGTTATCATTCACCACCTCAATACTTTGAAGTAAAACAAATCATGGAAATAAATTGGATGCTAAAGCCAATGTTAAGACGGTAACAGTTCAACATAGCCCCTTTCCACGTTTTGAAAAGCATCCTTGCTCTAGCCAACTGGCTTTAAAACAAAAACAACAAAATAACATAAATACCTTTCAAGAGAACCAAATGCCTTTCATTACCAGGACAGCCCAGTAATGGCTGTCACATGGCCAGCCCTGACCCTGGGCCCTTCTCTTCTAAGCCCTTGACCTTCACTGCACCATCTCCTGCAAGTCTCACAGGGGACCAGGATCATCACCCTCCAACTCACAGGAGGAGAACTAGGGCACCACGAGGTTAAATGACTGACTTGGAATAAACTGGAGGGAAGCAGTAGGGCTGGGAGATAAAGTCGGCTCCGCCCATCTCCAAGTCCACTATTAGATGTCCTGCTCCAAAATGGTGTGTTGGAATTCTCTGTGGAATTCCCTTTCATTGAGTTTGAAAATCTCTGCTCTAGGGGTCCTGGGACGAGGTCTGTGACTGTGGGTCCAGGAGGATCAGGGCACAGCTACCTGGCGAGACCACAGAAATGGGTCCCCTTGCTGCAGTGTACCCTCTCACTGCAACACAGGCTGCACCATCTCCCAGACTTCCCAGCTCAGGGTTGACTGGAAATAGAAGTGGTGATTTTTTTCCTTGTCATTAAAATCCATACTGCAAAAGAATGAAGTTGGATCCCTATTTCACATCATATACGAAAAATAACTCAAAATAGACCAAAGATCTAAATTAGGAGCTAAAACTATAAAGCTCTTGGAAGAAAATGTAGATATAAATCTTTGTGACATTGGATTTGGCAAGGGTTTCTTAGATATGACACCCAAAACATAAGCAACCAAAGAAAAAAAACTAACAAACTGAACTCAATCAAAATCTAAAACTTTTGTGCTTCAAAGGACACTATTAAAAAAAAATGCCGGGCATGGTGGCTCACGCCTGTAATCCTAGCACTTTGGGAGGCCGAGGCGGGCGGATTGCTCAAGGTCAGGAGTTTGAAACCAGCCTGAGCAAGACCCCGCCTCTACTAAACATAGAAAGAAATTAATTGACCAACTAAAAATATATATACAAAAAATTAGCCGGGCATGGTGGCGCATGCCTGTAGTCCCAGCTACTCGGGAGGCTGAGGCAGGAGGATCACTTGACCCCAGGAAATTGAGGTTGCTGTGAGCTAGGCTGATGCCACAGCACTTACGGCTTTGTTGCCCTAGCCTGGGCAACACAGTGAGACTCTGTCTCAAAAACAAAAAAAAAAACCCAATCCACACCACAGCTAAATTGAGTTCCCGGTCCAACGCCAGCAACACAAGAGGTAGAATACATTGGAACAATTTCAAAGAGGACACTGATGGTACAAAGGTTAAGGGAAACATTCCTTAGAGAGCTCCCAGCCTGGGGAAAAGGCTGACAGATCTTTTAGGCCCTATCTGTTCAAACCCAAAAGAAGATCTAATCCAGTGGTTCTCAACTGAGGGCAACGGTGCCCCACAGGGGGACATTTGGCAATGTCTGGAAACATTTTTAGATGCTGTAACTAGGTGGGGAAGTGCTACTGGCATGGGGGGGGGGCAGAGGCCAGGGATGCTGCTGAACAATGCATAGGACAGCACCTCACAGCAAAAAATTATCTAGTTCAAAATGTCAACAGTGCCACAGTTGAGAAACCCTGGTGTAATTTAATAATGGGTCCAATTACTATTTTAAATCCTGGTCTTCCTGAATGACTGTTTAAAATTAAAAAAAAAGAAAAGAAAAACTATCTTAAATCCTTGGATTTATATAACTTAGGGATCTGTTCAATAACAATAATTTCAAATATGTCCAAGTTGCTCCAAGAAGTAGGGCATGGCTCAAACCAGAACCAGGGATGTAGTTGGCCCTAGGCTCATCTTAGGCAAACCAGTCTCAAAAGAACAGAGGCTGGGCATGGTGGCTCATCCCAGTAATCCCAGCATTTTGGGAGGCCAAGATGGGAGGATCAGTGGAGGCTGGGAGTTTGAGACCAGCCTGGGCAACACAGGGACATGCCGTCTCTACAAAAAAATTAAAAAATTGGTGGGCATGATAGCATGCACCTGTAGTACCAGCTGAGGTGGGAAGACTGCTGGAGCCCAGGAGTTTGAGACTATAGTAAGCTATGATTGGGCCACTGCACTCCATGATGGGCAACAAAGCAAGACCCTGTCTAAAAACAAAAACAGTGCAGGCCCTTCCATGCTTAGAGTTGGGCAAACTCAAGGCAGGTGGTGAGACCTCCTCTCCTCAAAGGCACAGGTCTCAAGCAGTGACTCATACTTGCAAAGGGCTGCTTATCCAGTTTCATCCTTAAATGGCTAATCAGTTTCTTAAAATGCAGTATTTCTTAAAATACTAACCAGTAAAGTTTATCTGAAAGACTTACATAAGGAATGCAAATTTTTTCTCACATGAGGAAATGTAAAAATATGTTTACAACAGGAAATGTTGTTAACTACACACTTGCTGGCAAATGCTAAATAAAATTCAAAGCAAATATAGACCCCATCTATAAATGCCACCCATTTTTCCACATGGCCCCTACAAGCTTAATGGCTCAAGGCTAGCACTGTTATCAAATTTCCAGGCTCTATTTAGTGCTCTGAGAAAGGTTCAGCTATCTTACTGTTGAAAGATTTCAAGAAAGTTGTATTTTAAACAAGGCTGGGCCTTTAAGACTGTAATACACAGTTCCCTTCCTAAAAGGTGAGGTTAAAATGAGAATAGAGTTTTTCCTATCTTTACCACATAAAGGGAAAACAAATATAAATTATCTGAAAACCTATCACGCAGAGAAAACTACTCCCAGCATTTTGGTGTAAACCTACAAGTTTCCTAGACAAACAGATGCATGTAAATGTTTCTTATAATAATGGGACTAATCTACACACTACTTCATGACCCACTCTTTTCACACAATATCCCCATCTTCTCAGGCCAACAAGCCCACAGCCACACCGTCATTTCCCCAGCACTACAATAGCCAATCGTATGACTGTGCCCTTTGATTGTTTTTTTTAACCTCTTCCTCCTGGACTTTTGGATCATCTTCTGTATCATGTTACAATCCTGAAATGACTACCTGTGTTCACATATCCTTTCTGTAGCTGTCTGGTTTTTCCTTAGATGAAATTCTCATAAGTGGAACTGCTATTTAATACTTTAGTTTCACACTGCCAAACTGCCCTTCTTTAAGTCTGACAACTCAGCCTGTCATCAGCAGCCCATGAAAGTTGTTCCTCCATCCAGAAGGAAGTGCAGAGTTGCTCTGCGAGATATTCTCTGATCCAGAAGAAGGTGTCTACCCTCAGTCTCAGGACTATGGCAGTGTGAACACCGGGGATGTGCCCCAAGATGGTAATATCCCACCATCACAGACTGATCCCTTAGTCCTCAGCTGTGAACCAACAACTCAACAATCGCTCTGCCAGGTGTCAGCTGTTTCCAATCCATTCGCATCCATTTGGATGGAAAACCTAGCTTAAACACCCACAGGCCGATTTTTGCTAAAGAAAATGACTTTCAGTGGAGGAAAACATCTCTGTGGCCCCAGCTGGTTTGATTTAAGGCAAATTTGTTAACAAACGTGCTTTTCCTCACAGCCCATCTCTAACCGGGGTAGTGTTCCTTCACTGGAAAACCTAGGGTCAAACTCCAGCCCGTTTCTCATCAAAACTGAGGTCTGCACTGGTTTGCTGCCTTGAGCTTTGGCAGTTGTGGGTTTGCAGGCAAAGGCGAAAACCCCATGAGGAACTTACGTAGAAGTGAAAATGCAAGAAGTGGGCCAGCACTCTGGGGGCCACACCAGGGAAGGCAGCCAGGAGCATCTGGAGGTAGACCTCCAGATCCTTCTCCCTCTTCTCCACCAAGCTTCTTGAGTTTTTCCCAATTATCTTTTTAGGTGGAAGCAGATTTTTATCAATCTTTCTTTCTGCAACGAGCTGTAAGAAAACACAAGCACATCAACCACAGACCAAGAGGCTCTGTGCCTATGTAAGATCAACGAAAGCAGTCTGAGCACCTGCAATCCTTACAACTTCCACAGCCCTTCTGGATAGCAGTACAGGATCAGTGATCACACTAGTGCACCTGGGATTTGGTATCTTCAAATTCAATTAGCATTAGAAATAACAATACAATTCCAGACAAGGAACTCCATCTGGAGACTTTAGAGACATTCAGAAAATACCTCTTGGCCCCTAAAATTACCATCTTTTCCAAACCAGAATGAAAACCGAGGGCGGTGGTTTATCTTTAAAGCACTCATGCTGCAAATCACCCAGAGACAGATAGTACTTTCCAAAAACAAAGAAATAAATGGAAACACAGCCAGATATTAAAATGCAGGCTCCGAAATAGCTATAGTTAGGTGGAACAAGTTCAAAGTTGTCCCCTCCCTAGGAAACTGTCCCGGTATCTCATACCCAAGCTAGAACTGGCCATCTTAAAACTGAAATTCCAATACACTCCTTGCAGACTGTCTCATACAATGGTTGAATGCTAGCATTTACATGTTATATTAATGAATGCAGTAATATTAATAAACTGGTTTATTAAAGAAGTAAACTATAGCTATGGAGCCTATTTTGCCCTAAAACTAATGTAGGGCACAGTGGGAACTTGGCCTAAATGCCCCCAAACCCTGAGACACCAGCTCCCAGTTCCTAAGGGTTACCTTTTCATGCAGGTCATGGAAGTCACTATAGCGGTGCTTGACTGTCCACTCATGGCTGCCATCAGTGACTTGGATGATGTAAACCTAAAAGGGGAAACCGATAGCCCTTGCAGCAAGGGACGCAGCCAGCAACAAGTACCCTTCCCCCACAGCAATAGCTGCAGGACACTCAGACCCCCACCAAATGGCCAGAGTCAGGCTGCCCTTGCCCACCAGCCTCTGCACCTGACCCTCCCTGAGCAGCAGACCCCTCTCAGTCTTTTCTGTGGCCCCAGCACTAGGACTGGGGGGCACACAGGACAAGACTGTGGTTCTATCCATCAGTAAGAAATAGACAATGTGACTACTACAACAAGCCACCTCTTTAGTTTTTTACGTCCTGCCTTTGGGTAATTCAAAACCCAACCTGAGCTGCAGGAAAGGCCACCCTTTCCAAGGGAGGCAGAGCAGGGCCAGGTCTATCCTGACCAGCTCCCCTGTTGTACTTCTTTCCAGGTGTCCTGATTACATCCTGGAAGCAAGTTCTTTTTCAACCCCTTCAATTGGTTCCTGGCTGTGATTTCTATTGCTGAGCCAGGAGTCACAGCACCGAGCTGTAGGGAGAAGGCAACTTTTTGGTACCCTAAGAGGAGACAACATGGCTCAGAGGCAAAGGAAGACCTGAGTTCAAAACCTGGTTCTTCCATTTCCTGGCTGTGGCTTATATGTCACTTATGTAAGTAGTGGGCATGTAAGTTCTCTCTGAGCCTCGGTTCCACCATCTTAAAATCTGATAGGTTTAAGGATCAAGTAACGTAATGCATATAAAATGCTTTGTACAGGGCCTGACACATAGTCAGTGTCCAAAAGGTAGGTGTGTTAATAACATCCAGCTTGGCACACCCAAAGACGATGGCAGGATCAGCCTGGATTACCACTTCCCCTTCACACATCAGAGAAGGGCCTCAGCTGAATAAGGAGAGCTTTCTGAAGATGACCTTCCAGCTGAATGTAGCCCCTGGGTGATGGCCATCAGCTCAGAGACCTCATCCATCACCTGAACCCAGCCCCTTAGACCTCCGGGGAAACCGGGCTCCTGTTTCCCTCCCTTCTCTGCAGCATGCAGGGAGGGGGAGGAAAAAACAGTCAACTCCGCTGAAGCCTCCAATCCTGAGCAGCCATTTCTCCAGGGCCGGCCTGTTGCTCCAGGATCCGCCCCCAGCCTCTCTTCCCATCCCCCGGCTTCCCTCCCCTTGCCCCCAGGAAAAGAGAAAAGAGCCAGAGGAAAGGCCCTTAGAAAGGAGTGGTTAGGATGAAGGCCAAGTGGGGTGGGCGCAGGCTGGGCCAAGGCCCCCAACCACTCCCCACCCTGTGGGAACAAAGGACAGGAGGTTGGGAGGTGCACAATGCGCCCCTACCCCAGGGCCAGTTTGCTGGGCAGTCCACCGGTCTCAAAGGCCTGGCATCCAACTCCATCCAGACCCTGAAGGGCTTCCAACCCCCTCACAGTTGGGAACTACCCCTCTTTTCTGTTCTGTCTCCCCATAGCATTGAAATATGTGTGGGCGGCTTGTCGCCCCACAGCCCAAAGCCACGAAGCCCTCTAAGGTTTCTAGGGCCTAAGCTTCGGCCCTGAGGCCACCCCCCATTTCCCCATGGCTGGACTCCACCCCTCCTCCATTCTTGTCTCCAATCGACCCAGATCCTTCCTGCACTTCTCAGAGCACATCTCATCTGCGACCCCAGGCTCCCGATCAGAGCCCCGCTCTCTCCTTCAAAGCCTGCAGGGCCTGACCCCTCCCCCGATTCCATCCATCGGAGACCCTCTCCCATCCCTCTCCTCCCAGACCTCCTGTCACCGTATCCCAGCCGGCACCCCTCCTGGCCAGGAGGATCTAGAGGGGTTTCACCTCATCCAGACACTCCCCTCTCCACAGCCCCTTTTGATCCCCCGATCCCGCCCCTAACCCGAGGCTCCTTTTCAGATCTAGTACCCATTTCCAAAACCCCCTCTCCGGCCCCGCACGGACCCCTCTCCCGGACTTTCGGGGCCCAAACCCCTTCCCCGGATTCCCTTATCCCAAGCCCCCTTCTCCTGGTTGCGGGGCCCGATCCCTCCCCAAATCCCCAGCCCCAGTCGGACTCCCGGTTGCAGCCACCACCCGTCTCGGGTGCCCGCGCCCCCAGCACACCGTGTACGTGTCCACGAGCTCGGAGCCCACGACGCGCGCCTCCTTAGCCGGCTCGGCTTCCCGCTCGGAACCGAAGCTGCGCGCCGCGGCCGCCATGTTCGCGGCTCTCCCTCCGCCGCCCGGCGCAGACGGGCAGCAGCAGGGGGCGGGGTCAGCGTCCCGCCGCCCCCCGCCCCCGCTGCGCGCCGCGCCGCCATCTTGGCCCCGCCGCCTTCCTGGCCCTCGCCCCGCCCCTCACGCTTAATTGACAGCAGCCACCAACGACGCGCGTGCGCAGGCCGCGCGAGCCCGCTCTCTTGCGTAACCAGTACCTGCGTGGCGCCGCCGGCTCTGCCTTGCGCAGCCCAGGAGAAACTGAGACCCCGGGCGGTGGCAGCTTTGGGCGTCGCCCCTCGGTCCTCAGGAAGGGAGGGCAGAGGGCCCTGCGCTCCCCAGGCTATCCAATGCAAGTCACTGTTCTGCCTGGCCTCATTTTCCCCCTCCGGAAAAAGGAGGCTTCAGTAGCACCTCACCGGGCTATTGGACCTATTAGGACTGGCTTGAAGGAGAAGATAAGACCTGTGCTTAGAGCGAGAGCAGGGCTAGAGTGACTGGGGCCAGTTCTGAACCTCTCTGAGACTCGGAGTCTCTGTCAGTTGGGGCTCCTGGGGAATTGAGTGGATTAATGCTTGCAGTGCCTGGCACGCCGCAGTGCACAAGGCAGGGAGCTGGTGTGTTTTTAAGAGGGGGCTGTGTAGGAAGTGTGGGTAGGTGGTGGGAAGGGGTATGGTCTGGGCACAAGAGCCCCACAGAGTGTCCTGCCAGAGCTGAAAACAAGGGAGATAGGCTGGCCCTGCCCAGGAACTATAGTGCTAAATAGCAGAACCGAGCCCTAGCCCAGGGGAAGACTGAGACCTAGAAGAGGGAGTGGTAACCAAGGTGGAGAGTGAGGAGGGAGAGAGCCTGGCACAGATGGGGCATGTTAGGGTGCTTGCTGAATAACTGAGTGCAGATGACTCAAGCCTAAAGTGGGCCCTGCTCTCCCCAGGGAGAGGGAAGGTCTAGGGCATGGCGCCTCTGGCTAAAGGGCTCCAGACCACCCTGTCCTTAGGTGAGTCAGTGACTTCCTCCTTTACAAGTTCCACAGCACTATATTGTGAGCTTGGCATTCAAAGCTTCTCTTGGCAGGGCCCTACATTCTCAGCCTCTCCTTGCGCATTACCCCCCACTCCCCCAACTCCAGAGAGATTTAACTAAAGGCAGGGGCTGCCAAATCAACCCGATCCTAGGCACATCACCAACCTCTGGAGCCTCAGTTTCCTCATCTGGAAAGTGGGGGTATAGCACCCACCTCCCTGGTTGGATGGGAGGTTGAGGTGCTGTGTGTAAGGGCCTGGCCTGGGACCCACTACTTTGTAGTGCCTTGTCCTGTCCAGGGCTCATCTTTTCATTCATTCAAGAAAACTGTTCAGAGAGTGCCTTGAGGAATGTGGGAGACAGAGGGAAAGAAACCTGGTCATTGTAGCCTTTCATCTACTCCCTGCCCTGGGCAGAGGACACATGGGACTCAGGCCAGCTGAGATCACTGGGACCAGAGGAGGGGGTGGAGGATACTGCATGCAGGGGTGGGCTGGGCTGGGCTGGGAATGCAGCAGGGCAGGGCTATTTAAGTCCAGTGCCGCTGACAGCCCCAGCAGCCTGTCCTGTGAACCACCAGCATGGATGACATCTACAAGGCTGCGGTGAGGGACTGAACGGGCCTGGGCAGGTCTGGGGTGGGTGGGCCCATGGGAGCTCACTCAGCTCAGAATAGGGGGCAAGGTCACCCCAGGGAAGTGGTGGGAACCCAGAAGAGGGCCCATGTACCTTCATCCCAGGCCCCTAAAGGGATGGTGGGTCTGGCATTCAGGGGTGCAGGGGTGCAGATAGGGGTGCAGTTCAGGGCTTAGAGAGGAGCTCTCAGGTGGGTGGTGGAGGAGGTCACAGCTATTAGCAGCATGATGTCTCCTCCTCCAACTATCTATAGTCCGTCCCTGTCTCTTGGCCGCATCTCTCTGCATTTGTCTCTGGCTCTTTTTGCCTTTCTCAGCTCTTTCCAGCTCTGTTGCTCCTGAGTTGTCTCTCTGAGTCCCTGTCTTCCTGTCCCAACCTCCCATTCCTGCCCCTCACATTCTGCTTCTCACACACAACCCACCACCCTCCTCCAGCCCCTTGGTGGCTAAGTTGCTTTGGAGGGTGGAAGGGGTTGTGAGGAGGGGGCTGCAGAGCCTGAATCCTGGGCTGGGGAAGGGGCTTTGAAATTTGAGGCGATTTGAGGCAGGAAAGGGCGGGCATAGGGGAGAGCCAGGGAAGAAGAAACAGAGGGCTGGGCCCAGCCCACACAGTGCTGGGCAGGCTCTGGACTCAGTGCTTTAGCTGGGGGTGAAGGTGAGGGAGCAAGGGCTAGAGAGTGGCTGTCCCAAGTCCTTGCCTCCAGGGTTACTGTGGGAATCCGGACGCTATACCATGCTGGGGGAAGGGGTGATCTCCCCTCCCCCAGGGACAAGGACTTCATGGCACAGACAGCTGTCCTTAGGGGAACCCCTCCCTCAGCTTCTAGAATGCAGCCCCCCTCCTGGGCAGGGAAGAGCTATAACTAGTGTGAGGGCACCCCTGCTTATCCTGCAGGAGTCCATGGAGCTAGGGGGCAGCCCTCTGCCCAGTGCCCATACAAGGCCTGGCGGGGCTGGGGACTAATTTTGGCTCCTGAGACAACACTAGCAGGCCAGGGGACCAGATAACATTGCCCCACCCCCTGCATGCCAAAGTCCCAGAACAATCCCCAGGTTTAACTCCCCACCACCCCCGTTAAAAATAGCCCAGTGGCCACCCTGCTCAGGTTACAGTGGGTAGCTTGTCCACTCCCATGCTGTTTTTATTGTCCCCACCTGAGGGACAGCTGTCCCTCAGGCCACCCAGCTTGGGTTTCATCAGGGGGGCCAAAAGGGCATTGAGTGGTCACTGACTATTGTTACTCAGGGTCACCTTGGGCCTGAAGGGGGTGCCCACCTGTCACACTGGCCCTGAGCCCAGCTGTAGTGAGGCCAGCCGGGTCACCTCAGGGCTTTGAGGGCAGGGAGGGAGGACTGAGGCCTCTGCCCTGTGACCTGGGAGTAACCTGTCTTCCCTTGCTTCAGCCTTCCCACCTGTGGAATGGGCTGGCTTCCTTGACAGCAGCTAAGCCTGAGTCTGTGTCCTGTGACCCCTTTTCCTCTCTAGGTAGAGCAGTTGACAGAAGAGCAGAAAAATGGTGAGTGCCCCCTATGGCACATGTGGGGGACCAGCGGGCCAGACTAGGGAACATGGGGACCCCTTACCAGAAGAGGACCCCAGACTAGAGACCAGAGGTTGGTCCCTCTCACTGCGACATCAGAGAGGTCTTGGAGGGATGTGGGCAGCTGGCCAGGTGGCCCCAGGGATCTGGTCTCCGAGGGTCCTGTCTCCTGAGCCTTGACTGCTCCATCCCCCACCCCTGCCACCTGACACAGAGTTCAAGGCAGCCTTCGACATCTTTGTGCTGGGTGCTGAGGATGGCTGCATCAGCACCAAGGAGCTGGGCAAGGTGATGAGGATGCTGGGCCAGAACCCCACGCCCGAGGAGCTGCAGGAGATGATCGACGAGGTGGATGAGGATGGTGAGCCCCTCTGCCCCTCTAGGCTCCAGATGCACAGTGCGCTGGCTTGCTGGGGGCTTGCATCCTGGTTTTGTCTAGCCAGGAGCTGTTTAGCCTCTCTGAGCCTTGGTTGACTCATCTATAAAATGGGCATAATGACCACACAAGCCTCACAGTGGTGGTGTGAGGATGCAGTGAGGTTTGTGTCAAGGCACAGCCTGCAGTTCTGACCAGGGCGTCTCTCATGGCCGTGCCACCCATCTCCCAGGCAGTGGCACAGTGGACTTTGATGAGTTCCTGGTCATGATGGTTCGGTGTATGAAGGATGACAGTAAAGGGAAGTCTGAGGAGGAGCTGTCTGACCTTTTCCGCATGTTTGACAAGTAAGCCTGTGACCCTTGACCTCTGACCCTGATCCTGACCCAGCAGAGCAGGGGAAAGGGGGGCAGTCTGATTCCAGGCCTGTCTCCAGTTCTGTGTGATGGGGGAGAGGGTGCCGCTGCTGTGCCTTCTAGGGTTGTGCTCTTCCCCCTGCCGCCCTACCTGGGCTCTGAGGCCCCTTCACCCTCCCCACAGAAACGCCGACGGCTACATCGACCTGGATGAGCTGAAGATGATGCTGCAGGCTACAGGTGAGACCATCACAGAGGATGACATCGAGGAGCTCATGAAGGACGGAGACAAGAACAACGATGGACGCATCGACTATGACGGTGGGTGGGCGGGTGGGCTGCGTCCCCTGCTTTGGTGCCCTACCCTGCCGCCACCTCTGACCCTCACCTGCCCCTCTCTCCACAGAGTTCCTGGAGTTCATGAAGGGTGTGGAGTAGACGCTCACCTTCACCAGAGCTGCCCACGCCCACCCTCCAACTTCAGCCAGGCCTGGGTAGGGGGCTGGGGGCCAGGGTCCCCAGTACCTGAGCCTGTGCATGGCCTCAACCCTGGCCCTCCCTGACTCTCTCCCCAGACCTGTCCTGGAGAATGCAAATAAAGCCTTGCTTCCTGGAGGCCTGGTGTCTGGCCCTGACATTCCCCAGGGCTGTGGACTTACCCAGAGTGCACTCCTGCGGACCACCTTTCCTTCCCATCCCAGGCTGGCTGGCTGCAGGGCCCGTGCTCCGATTGCCACTCCACACCACTGTCTGAGGGAGGGTTTAGATTAGCCCAGGGACTGCCGTGCTGTGTGCCCTGCTGACTGTTTCTATACCTGCTGGTGCCCAGGCCCCATCTCTGTCCAGCATCCAGAGTCCGAGGTGGCCCCAGAACCTGCATTTAACAAGCTCCTGGGCCATTGTTTTGGTCAGCCAGTGTGGCAGCCCAGCAGTCCTCTGCTTGGAGAGAGTAGTTAGCTGGATGCCTCTTGGCACAGCAACCCAGCTACCCCTCGGCTCTGATTGGAGTGGATCTGAGTGCTGTGGGACCCAGCATGCCCCAGCACTAGTCCACCTGCCCACCCACCCGCATTTCCCAGGGACTGAGGTGCATTTAGTCTGCTCTGCCTCTCTACTGTGAGACAGGTGAGGACCCACGGCCCAGAGAGGTGCATGGACCTGTCGGGGGAATCTGGGGAGTCTTGGGG